ACAAGAAATCCATGATTTACAACTTGGAAAGTAATACGAAATCAAATAATGGAAAGACTAGGATATGTGGCCACGAGACCATACAAGTTATTTTGGGTAATTACCTAGTGCGTACTATGACTTAGGAGAATTCCTATCCTCCGTACTAGAGCCAAACCCTAGCCATCAACATCTCATATCCTTACAAGCTTCCAAAAATTAACAAGTTCATGACATTTATGCAATCTCAATGCATGAAACTACCTACCAAGCACAAGTAGGGCAAAATCACACAAACTATGCCCTAAGGTTACATGTCTAAAATGGCAAGCAAATGTTACTACACATTATGCCATATGAATTTAATATTAATGTAGGCCATAATTACTAATCATGAAATATAGTAATCTACTTACAAGTAATTACAAGTGCTATATACAAGATTTTCATACTAAACTCTCAATGAAATCTCCATTTACTTAACAACATAAGTGCAATTTCAAGATATTGATAATAAACCCTTAATGAAATTACAAGTATTAGGCAAATCATTAAATAATAACCTACCTATACAATTTAATAGTCATATACATGCTTATTCCACAAATCCTAAGTCAAGCATATAAAATCTCTATTTATATGCAAATACAAGAATTTAAAAAGGCATGTAATCAATATATATCAAGCTTCAATATACATAAAACCTAAAGAGGATAAACATATAACCACCCCTACCTTACAAGAGGATTGTTCCTCTTGAATCCAAGGGAAGCAAATGAATTTCAAGTTTTCCTTCTAGGGTTATGAAGAGGAAGATGGGGCAAGGCTTTTGTATTCCAAGTTTAATGGTCTAAGGTGAGTGGAAAGGTATCAAAAATGAAGTCAAAGCTTTAAATCAAGCTTTGCTCCAATGGTGGCTAAGTTGGGTTCTTGAGAGGAAAGAGATGAAAATGAGACAAAGGTGTAAACCCTAAGCTGAATGGTAGGATTCTCTACTCACTAGGTGCTCTTGCACTATCTCACACACACACACAATTGCAAGACCAATTGTGAAGCCTACACTTGTCACCATCCTATGTAAACTTCCAAGATTAAATAACAAACCTACACTTGTCAACCATCCATGCCAACAAGTGCTCCTATCCTAGGCCAACAAATGGGTGAATCTCCACCCTCCATGTGTCATCAAACAAGGCTTCCAAGTAGTTTCACCACAAAATCAACAAGTGGCACCTTAGGAATGTGACACTTGTCATATTTTTCAAAAATTGCAAAAAGGTCCTTCTTAAAAATATCTTCCAAATTAAATTACAAAATAGTCCCTAAGACGAAAAATAATTACTTTATTTAATTTCACAAAACCCCTCAAGTTTAGAGTAATTACCAAAAGTTTTTCATTCATGCTCTTTACAAGAAAAGTAACCATTTAACATACTTTTCTACAAAAGTGAAAATGTAGATATCATGGAAATGAAATATCATGGATGTAGCTCTATGCTCTCATCGAATTAAATGGATCTTCAGTCCGGCAACAATGGAGACTTCAGCTCCGATCAATCCTCAATCCGATCAGGCTTGTTTCCGGCGACAATTGAGACTATAGCTAGTTCGATTGATCTTCAATAATAGCTTCGGGTAACTTAGGTTCTCTATATGGGTCTCATGTTGCCGAAGAGAATCAAGATGAAGGGTTCCGTTGTGTCTGTTTGATCTCTGGACTTGGTAATGTGGCGGCACGGATGAGGCAGGGGTGTAAGAAAGAAGGGTGAGGATAATTTGACCTATCTAAAAGGGTAGTTTGGTCAAAGAAAAATAAATTTTAAAGATTAAAAAAGTAATTAATTCCATATTTCAAATAGGTCAAGGGTAGTAATGTTAATTAACCATGTGTAGTGACTATTAGGAGTGTCTTTGTTAATTTTTTTAAACCTAAGGGGGTGTCATTATTAAAAAATGGATCAACTTATTATGGTTGTAAATAAGATAAATTTTAAGGGTTGTCGTTGTAATTAACCCTATTTTTTAATAGGAATGTAAGAAAAATCTGAATAAATATGCGCGTTGCTGGTATTTTTCGGTAAGTATACTCTGGTGGTCTTAGATATATTCAATAATACCATATCTCAGGAAACTCTATTCAAATAAATTCAAACAGGAAAATCTAACTAATTCATCACTCAAAAAGCTCTCTTTTTCAATAATGTCTCTCCTCTGTTGATCCAAATTTTTATAGTTGGGAGTCCCTTTATTTAGTTGAGAACGCATATGTTGCTTCTCAATATTTATATATATATAAATTGGAAGTTAAATTTGATTAAAAAAAACTAAATACTAAGGTTAAATTGGTAGATACTATACTCAACTAATTTTAATCCCTACGAATATGATAATTTACAATTTATTCACCAGCTAACTATGCTAATAGAGATGCCCAGATACTTAGCAAAAGTGGAGAGAAACTCTAACCAAAATTAAATAAAGACTTCAAATCTGCATCATCTAATTTGAAATGTGAGAAAGCATCATTAGGCTACACAACCATTGATAATAGATACATTAGCTTTGTTTTGTGACAATTTCAATGATAACCTTAGTGAACCCTAGAGAAAAAACTTTAATAGATACGATAAACAAATAAGTAGAGATATAAGGTCACCTTGCTGACTTGCTGTAATTCATTGTCACCTTAAAAATAGGCAGTGGCCTAACGGTATCAGCTTCTTACTTCCTAAAAGAAGAGGTCAAGGGTTCAAGTCTCCAAAAAAACATATGTGTGTGAGTATTAACTAGAAAAAAAAAAAGTATTAACTAGGAAAAAAAAAAAAAAAACAGAAAATAACCATACAATTCTCCATTAATACTAATGGAAAACATTGGAAAGTGATATAAAGCTTAATCCAACAAATGAAGAGAGGATGAAGCCCAAACAAAATCAAGAATAAAATCCCATTTTAAAGAATCAGAAGGCTTATCAATTTTGTAGCCCATCTTGACGGTCCATAATCCCCATGATAGTTCCTAAGTAACTACTGGGCCAAAACGTTATTATCACTGGGCATTATCCAGAAGCTTAATTGGTAAAGTTCAACAAGTGCACCATGTTAGAATCTCGCTCCTTTAATTTGTATTGACAAAAATATAATAATAATATAATATATAAAAAAAATCTCATCAGCAAACTCGAATTGAATTGTTTTATTCATATATGAGTTATGGATGATGGGTAAATCTTTATGATGACAAATCCCTTTATGTTGTTTTCTGTTTTAAGGGTTAAATATTGGCTACTATGAAACTCATGACCTCTTGTTGTTGCACAGAAACAAATCAATCCAGGAGCCAAGAAGCCTCAACCCTATTAGACGATCTCAATCAATGTATTTAATCTAAACCAGTTCAAAACAATATTTCCAACATAAACAATTTAATTGTATATTAAAAATCCACATGTGAAAGTCCATAATAAGTACTCCCAATCAGTGAATCAAGCCTTACCCAAATCAAAACAACAAGACATAAAAAAAATAAAAATAAAAAGAGATATTGTTACTAGAAAAACAAGAAATTTCTAGAGCAAGATCGTTCTTGTTATAAATTATTAAATAAAAAACAAATCCATGTATAAGAAACCCACAAGCACAAACGCACACAAAACACTCAATCAATAAACCAATCCTAATCGAATTAATTAATAACACAAATTGAGTTCGAGATGAAAAAAATATATATACACACAAGACAGGTGATAAAACCCAAAATCCAGATTCATGGAAAGACTCCAATTGATAAAATATGAACTCTAAAATCCAAACAATAACCAATTGACACAAAGGAAAAATAACATTACGTTGAAGGGGATGTATCAAAGAGAGGGTTTTCTTTGAGATGCTCCAAAAGATAATCTCCCAACAAGCGCAATCACCTTCGAACCCAAGATTCATTGTTCTTGGGGCAGTTGTGAACATATAATTACAACGAACATGGCAATATTAGCCACCACAATGGACTGTACATAGTATGAAGATGAGTGACATGTTGGTGTTGCTATGTTCGGTGTCATGCATGTCAACCATCACCACCATCAATTTGTATATCGAAATGGGATAGATTTCAATTTTGATTTTGTTTGATTGTTGTGAAATGATGCCTTGATTTACAGTATATTGCAGTAATAGTAACGAAGGAATTACATGGCTTCAAGGCTATAGGTAAATTAAGTTTATTAATTATATCGTTCTGGGAAGAGATTTGATTTGCAAAGGCACTCTCCTTTCCACGTTTTTTTTTTTTTTTTTCCTTGTCTTTGAGCAATAAGTGTAGTAAAGCAGAATAAGCAAACTGGAATGATGAAATTGATGGTTGCAGAGTTTCATTGCTTAATCAGCATCACTAATCGTTATCAGAAACCATCTTTATTTTATTCTTGGTCAATTATCAAATCATTTATATCATGTTAACTGGACTGTTGTTTGGTCCGTGGATTTGTTTTTGTTTTGTTTAAATTAACATTGAATTAGGGTTTCATGACAGGGAAAATAATGGGAGAATGAGGAATGACCGAAAGAGGAGAATAGATAAACATTATTCATCTGTAAAGGAAGATGAAGATTAGGGAAGAGAGCCATGGAGAGTGAGGATACACAAATTGTTGCAATGGTCTTTCGGGTTATCATAAAAGGAAAATGATAAGGGGGCTGAAGGATAACCTTAAAAAAACTATCGAATCTAATGTGACTTGGCATGTCAGCTTTCCTAAAATTTCTTTAAAACTTCTTGCGCAAAGTAAAAAAGCCATCACGTGCTTAGCGAAAAAATTGTTTGAGAAGATACCGTAGCGATAAACATTGTGAAGGGTATATACAAATAGAAATATATATACACACAATTACATATATGTTGGTAATAGATCATAAATATTTAAAGATTTTTTTCTACAAATTTTTCAATAGATTTAGGTATTACTCAATGATTTGATTTTAAGAATTACATGATCATCTTATATTTGACTCACGCACAAAAATTCGGGAGTATTCACAACATCACTATTTGATTCGGGATTGGCTCTCTCTCTATCTAGGGTTTTGAATAAGTTTTCTTTTCTAGCAGCAATTCAATCGGTACAGTGATTTAATTTGATATATCTAGTCAGTGTAAATTTTAAAATATATCAATTATGAAAAAAAATTCTAAAAGATACTACATAACAAGATAAATAAAGATAATAAAGATAATAAAGATAAGTCGATTCCTAAAAAAAAAAATAAAGATGCCCTGTAACACCAGACCAACAACAAGTTTGGTAATTAATTCGGCGGATATCTTTCTGTTTCCCTATCACTGCTCATCATAAAATCATAAAAGATGGGTATGACGCAATTTTAATATTATTTAATATTTGGGCTCAAGAAACTGTGGACTAAAACCTATAAAAAAATAATAATAAAAAATTTCAATTAAGTCGGTTAAGAGGAGTGAGGATCAAGAAACTATATGGACTTACTATTCCTATCAAAATAATAATAAATAAATAAATAAATAAAATCCTAAAATCGTTTCAAATTTACCTAAAACCCTAAATTTTAACTTTACAATATAAACCCTTCTGCCACTGAAAGGAGGCCGACTGCAAGAGAATGGGAAGGAAGAAAAAGCAAAGAAAGCCAGCAATAGAAGACGGAAAAGAGGCCGACTGCAAGAGAATGGGAAGGAGGAAGAAGCAAAGAAAGCCAGCCATAGAAGAGGTCGACTGTACTAGAATGGGAAGGAAGAAAAAGCAAAGCAAACCAGCAACAAGAGGGGACACACCAAGTCTTCCATGTGAAATCATATACAATATACTCTTGAGACTACCCATCAAGTCTATGTTGCGATTCAGGTGCGTTTGTAAATTATGGCTAACTTTAATATGTGAACCCCAATTCATGACTCACCAAAACGAATCCATTAAATTGTACCGTCAAAGACTCTTTTACCGGGCATCCATCCCAAAATGTTTCTACTCCATAGGCTATGAAAATATTTCTGATAATTCAAATGAAAAGCTATACTTACCACATGATGAGAAAAAGGAGCTGCCCAAAATCTATTGCTCTTGTAATGGTTTGGTATTATTAGGTCGTGATGATGACAAAACGTGTGTATTGTGGAATCCATCCACTAGAGCAATTACAAAGTTCTCATGCCCATTTGAGGTAAATCGTCCATCAATCTTTGGACTATGTTATGATTTTTCCATTGACAATTACAAGGTGGTTCATATCAATAGAACTTGTGATATAGAAATTATGTATGTGGTTTTCTCTTTCAAGAGTAAATCTTGGACAGAGGCAAGAGAATTGTCTTATTTTCATTATTACCATGAAACTAGTGTTAATGTGAAGTGAACGGAGTGTTTCACTTCAAAGCCATGAAATGTCGCTTCATGGGAATATATGCAATTGTTTTCTTCGATGTGGTGACTGAGAAGTTCAAGGAGGTGCCACTACCAATTTGTATATCTGAAAAGGATAGATTTGGATTTGGTTTGATGGTTGTGAAAGGATGCCTTGGTTTATATCGCACACCTGTTTTTGGAGAACAGTGTGAGGTATGGGTGATGAAGGAACATGGAGAGATGAATTCGTGGACTAAGTTAATGAGCATCCCAGGACTAAATTATTTGTCGATCAAGCCGTTGTGTGTTATGGAGAAAGGTGAAATTTTGATGGTGTTTGATGGACAAAATAAAGTGTTAGCAGTCTATAATCCTAAAGAAAACAAGTATACAGAACTTGCTAAATTAGCTAGGACAATGGATGTGTTGAATTCAGTAACAGCAGTTTTATTGGTATATAGTTTAGTTTTACCCAGTTGATTAAGAGGCAACTATTTATGCTCTTTTCTGGGACAATTCCTGTCGTTTTCCCTTTGTAAGCCATGTTTATCATTGATATAATAGGATGGTTTTATTTTTATTTTTATTTTTATTTTTTTTTGTGCGCGCGCGCGCGTTTGTGCAGTTTGACAAACTCCTCGTTTTGACATGTTCTTGATCAGAAATGACCCAATAGTCATGGTAATTTCTAACTAGTGGCTTTTGATGTACTCATGTTCTTTTAGGCCGAATTTCACCCGACCTTGAAATCTTTTTTTTTTTTTTTTTTTTTTTTTTCTGTTCAGAACTTTGGTACATATATTTCACGATTTTTGTTCTAGGTCTAAACAGACTTGAATTCTTCTCCTTTTGGGTAGTAGTTTTTGGTGATTAGATTTTAACTCCTATTTTTTCATAATTTTTAGAGATACTGCCATTTGGGGTTTATTTTTAGCTTTTCTTATACTATTAAATTTTCTAGTAGGTTTTCTACATTATATAAACATGAGCAGAATTTATTCATTGATTAGTAATATTTTCAAAGTTCTCTTTAGTTATACTTGGTGGATTCAATGTTAGTTATTGTTCATACTTGAACATTCATAACTTTCACTTAGTAAGTTTTTAGTTATTATAAGAATATATATATATATACACACACACACACACACTTTGGTAAAGAGAATATATATTGTTCGATTTCACATTCTGATCAAGATTTATTTATATGTACTTTTGTAACTAAATGCATCTTGAGAGAGTTCCATAGACATGGCTTTCAAAAGATCTTTGTTTTCCCTTTCTTTTTTGAGAAAGATTTGATGGAAATTATTTTCTTTTTAAATGAAATTTGTCTATAAGCTTATGAGCATTCAATATCCCATAACAAAAACCTCAATAACTAAGATAAAATCTGTAGAGTTAACATGAAAAAATTACCTGTGATTCAAAGTTGTCCCTAAATTTATTAATTTCTCTTTAAAGTTTAAATTTATATTGAGAAAAGAATAGACATCTATACCAGGTACTTACTTCACCTCTGCTTCAATCTAACGATTAAAATAGCCATAGTGCTATCAACAGTGATTAAATGATTGCTCACAATAGTGATCCCAAACAAATTTCACATCATTTTAAGTCAAACAAGTCAAAGGTGCAGCAATCTTGGAGAAGCCCTTAATGAAGCACTTGTATCATGTAAACTATGAACCTTAGTGACAATAGTAGGCCGTTTCTAACTCATCACAGCCTTAACCTTGGCGGAACCACTAAAACTCCATCCCTAGAGATCATAAGCCCCAAAAACTTGATCTGCTCTTGCCAAAAGTCATACTTCTCAAACTTAGCATAAAGTTGATGCTCACGCGGAGTCTAAAGTGTAATACTCAAGTGTCGTTCATAGTCCTCCTTAGTATTGGAATATATTATAATAATATCAAGCAATACCACGAAAAACTAATCCAAAGTAAGGTTTAAACACTCGGTTCATCAAACCAAGAAAAGTTGTTCAGGTGTTAGTCATCCCCAAAGGCATGACTAGGAACTCGTAGAGACCATAACGAGTCCAGAAAGTAGTCTCACTAATATCATCTTCCCTAATCCTTAGTTGATGACAACCAGCCCTCACGTTAATCTTATAAAACAACTGTGCCCCTATGAGTTGATCAAACAAATCATTTATGTATGGCAAATAATATTTATTCTTGATCATCACTCTATTTAGCTCACGGTGGACAACACATAAGCAAAGTACACCATCATTCTTCTTGGAAAATAAAATAGGTGTTCCCGAGGGTGATGTGCTAGGTCGAATAAACCCCCCAATCCGAGGTCGAATAAACCCCCCAATCCTCCAACTCTTAGATCTGCTTCTTCAATTCCCTTAATTCAACCAACATCCTTCTATAAGGTTCCATGGAGATAGGTGAAATATGAGGAATGAGGTCAATGTAGAAGTTCACTATCCTTTTAGGCCGCAAACTCGATCGAAACATCCTGACACTAGGGCTGCAAACGAACCAAGCCGTTGACGAACTGCTTGGGCTCGACTCGTGAATTACTCGGCTCGAGCTCGATTCATTTATAAATGAATCGAGCTTAAGCCGAATTATGAGGCTCGATTCATAAACGAGCCGAGCCTGAACATCAGTAGGCTTGATTCATAAACGAGCTGAGCCTGAACATCTGTAGACTCGATTCATAAACGAGCCGAGCCTTAACATCAGTAGGCTTGACTCGTTTGTTCATGAACTGTTCATGAACTGAGCTCGATAATGCGTTCGTGAACATACTCGATTATAATATATATATATACATACATACATACATACCCAACTATAATATATAAAAAAGTTGGGGTTAGATTGTAATTGTATGTAGCACATTTTTTTTTGATAAGTAATAATAAATTAAAAAAGCGTTCAAAAGGGGAACGCGTCCCTAGAACAATAATCGGGGACTAAGGTCCCAAAGAATCCAGAAAAGAAATTAAAGCATTAGAGGAAGAGCAAGAACTCTTCTTCACATAACTAAAGAGAGAGCGAATAATAATGAGTTTTAGTGTCGCCGTAGACGACTCTTTCCCTTTGAACATTCTACTGTTTCTCTCCTTCCAGATGCTCCACCATATGCAATGTGGGACACTTCTCCATAAATCATGTGCACCTCTGCTCACGCGACATCCTCTCCACGTATAAATCATATCCTTAGTAGAACGTGGCATTACCTAACACATGCCAAACAATCCAAGAATAAGATTCCAACAATCGTACGCCACAGGGCAATGCATAAGAAGATGATTAACAGATTCCCCATCTTGCTTACAAAGGCAACACCAATTAACAATACAATTTCCCCTCTTCCTCAAATTATCAATCGTCAGAATCTGACCCCACACAGTTGTCCACACAAAGAATGCCACCCTAGTAGGTGTCGAAGAGCGCCATATAGTTTTCCATGGGAAGACAAAGCTAACAAAATTAGACAGGTATAAGAACAAAGATCTTACTTCAAAACGACTGTGAGAAGAGGGAATCCATATCAAATTGTCATGCCCCCTACCAATTCCTTCCTGCTAATACAATGGGTCCAGAAAAATACTCACCTCGTTCAACTCCCAGTCTTGAAATAACCGCCTAAAGTGCACATTCCACGTAATTCCACTATTATCAAGCCGATAACAGTCAATCACGTAAGCATGTTTGTCAATTGCAATATTGTATAATCTGGGAAATGTGCGAGATAATAGCTGATCCTCACACCAAAGATCTTCCCAGAAATGGATGCATCTACCATCACGAACTTTGATTTTAATATGAGGAGAAAAAATATCCAATCCTTTCCGAATGGATCTCCAAGCCCCAACTCCTCCCGTAATAGAAACTGGGCGTGTAGTCCAATCGCCAATGTCTTCCCCATACTGACATGATACTAGCCTTTGCCAAGGACGTTGCCTTTCCTTCCTGAACCTCCACAACCATTTGCCCAACAGAGCTTGATTAAAAGGAATCAATCGTCTAATACCAAGACCACCCAACTGCATAGGCTTGCAAACTCGCTCCCATTTGACAAGGTGATACTTAAACTCTTCTCCCCTTCCACCTCAAAGAAAATCCCTTTGAATTTTTTCAATCCTTTCAGCAATGGAGCAAGGAATTTGGAACGTAGAAAGAAAATATATAGGAAGACTAGATAAAGTGCTCTTAATAAGAGTTACTTTGCCCCCCTTTGATAAATATTACTTTTTCTATCCTGCCAACCTCTTTACATACCTGTCGAGCACAGAGTCCCAACTCCCCACTAACCTTGAGGAGACCCCTAAAGGCAAACCCAAATAAGGAATATGAAAGGAACTAACCCTGCAACCAAGTACTGCAGCCAAAGAAGAGATATCCTGAACATTCCCAACCTAGATAACCTCACTCTTAGCCACGCTAACCTTTAGCCCGAAAACCGCCTGAAAACATGCTAGAATGCACCTTAAATATCTACGTTGAGACACATTTGCATCACAAAAAACCAAAGTATCATCTGCAAATAGCAAATGAGAAATCTCTACCTGATGGTTAATATCTCTTCCCACTCTGAATCCCTTAATGAGCCCAAGATTCTCTGCCCTGCGCATAAGTCTGCTAAAGCCCTCCATGACAATAAGAAAGAGGAAAAATGACAATGGATCACCTTGTCTTATTCCTCGAGAACACCCAAAAAAAGCAGCAGGAAAACCATTCACAAGAATTGAAAACTTGACAGACAAAAGACATGTCTTAATCCATTTCCTCCACTTACTTCCAAACCCCATTCTTTGTAGCAAATAGAGGAGAAAATTCCAGTTAACATGATCATAAGATTTCTCAATATCAAGTTTGTATAGAACTCTAAGAACACCACTATGCAATCTTGAATCCACACATTCGCCTGTAATAAGAACTGAATCAAGAATTTGCTGACCTCCAATAAAAGCATTCTGGGAGTCTGAGATAATCCCATCTATAACTTCTTCCATCCTTTGAGCAAGCATTTTAGCAATAAGTTTGTAAATACAACCCACCAAACTGATAGGACGAAAATCCTTAATGTCAGAAATGCTTCCCTTCTTAGGGATGAGGGCAATAAATGAGGCATTTAGTGACTTCTCAAAGACACCAGAAGTATGAAACTCCTGAAAGGTACCCATCACCTCACCTTTCTTAACCGTCCAACTTTCCATCAAAAAATGCATAGTGAACCCATCAGGCCCTGGAGCTTTATCCCAATTACAACTTGACAAGGCTTTTAGAACTTCTTCTTCATGAAATGAAGCTTTAACCCATCTCTCTCCAACTCAGAGATAGCCTCAAAAGGAGTCCATCAAGTTTGGGTCTCCAACCTAAAGGTTCTGTGTAAAGCTTTTGATAAAAAGAAATTATCCTATTACGTAGCTCTTCCTCCTTCCACAACTCCACGCCTTCCACTCAAATGTGTCCAATGTGATTACTTTTTCTATGAGGATTAGCTAATCTGTGAAAATTTTTTGTGTTACGATCCCCCTCTTTCAACCAAAGAGCCTGAGATTTTTGACGCCATGAAATCTCTTCCATACTAGCAATCTCAGCAAGAGCTGCCTGACAGGAAGTTCTCCTAGAGCAAAGAGACTCCATATCTCTAGCCGCCTCCTCAAGACCATCAATCTCAGAAAATTCAGTAAAGACTCTATTCTTTCTCCATTCAAGATTCCCAAAAACATCCTTATTCCACTGTTTCAGATTGAATTTGAGAGATCTTAACTTCTGTGTTAATATAAAGCTGGGTGCTCCTATAACCATCACTCCCTCCTACCAAGATCGAACTTTCCCTTGGAAATCTTTCGATCTTAACCACATATTCTCAAATCGGAACGGGGTTCTACGAGAACACAAGCCCCCACAATCCAAGACTAGAGGAACATGATCTGAAATGACCCTTGCTAAGACCGCCAGAACAACATTCGGGAAATTTTTTTCCCACTCCCCTGAGATCAGAAATCTGTCCAATCTTGAGAGAGTAACTGGATCCCTGCCACTATACCAAGTAAAGGCTGCGCCTTCCATTGATAGATCAATAAGAAGATGCTCATCAATGAAGTCAGAAAACTGATCCTGTAATGTTACCGATTTTTCCTATTTTCTATTTTCTTAAATTTAATTGATTTTCTGGATTATTTTAATCCTTTCCTCGTTTGGCCTGCCACGCGGGCCCCGAAGGGCATTTTGGTCATTTTGAGCTGAGGGTTTTAGAAGTGTGTTTTATTTGTCATTCTAAGTCAATTAGAAGTGACGGTTTCATTTTTAGAATTTTTCAAAAATCGGGACGATTTCTAGACCACTTCTTCTGGTTTTCTTATCTGAAGTGAGGGGCATTGTTGACATTTCACATGTGTGTGTGTATTTTTAATTCATATATGTATGTTGTATTAGTGGTATTAATGGAGGGTGATATTTTATGGCATTGTTGAGGTTGTAACGGAGTTTAAGGGGCATCTTTGTCATTTTAGTCTCATGGACCAACCTAGAATGTTCTAGAGACCAAAAAGGATGGCTTCATTTTTAACCTATTCGTTTCTTTTCCTTCGGCAGACATGTTCTTCCTCTCTCTATGTTGCTCTCTTTCTTCTCTCTAGAATTTCTTCATGCTAGAAGAAGATTTGGTTTAAGCCGGAGTTTGCAAATTATAGATCATTGCAAGGGCTACATTTTAGTACCGGTATTGTAAGCTTTTGGTGGGATGTGAGTTTGGAGCTTGGAGCATGGGTTGCTATCTTGAGGTAGGGGAAGTTTAAACTAATAATTCCTAAGGTTTTAGTGAGTTTTCTATATGTTCTTTGCATATAAATCTTGTTGGTGTGAGTATGTTTAGCTTGTCCAGTATGGAGTTGTGAAGCATGATTTATTCTTGGTTTACATGATTGGTGATGAAATGGTTTGTGAATTTGTGAAATTTATGTATGATGTTGTGGCTGGTATTCCCATGATCCCTTTTTTCTGATCTCCTTTTCTTTGGTTGTGGCTCATGGGATTTTTAGGAATGTATTTTAGGCTTTTTCCTACTGAGCCATTGAGCTCACCCTATTATCATTAACATTTTTCAGGAATTCTGAGACAAGTCGAAAAATGATGTGTATCCATGGGCACTGATATAGATAGGAATTTATTTTATTTTATTTCAATTAAAGCTATGTAAAATTTAGCTAGGGAGGCCTCATCCTTGTATTTAATTCTTTTTAATTGTATAAAATGAGACTATGAAATTATTTCATGATGAATGGGCAATGGAGTTATGTTTTGATCAATTATTGATGCCTTTAAATTATTTATGTCATGTTTTATTGACGAGCATTTGGGTTCAGCTGTACATCAAGTTGTTTACCAGGTTTAGGAGGGCTGAACCGTTCCATCAGCCGAGGGCTGAACCTTTCCTTCAGCTAAGGGCTGAACCTTCCCATCAGTCGAGGGCTAAACCTTCCCTTCAGCTGAGGGCTGAACTGTAATACCCCGTAATTTTAAAGAATGTATTTAAATTAATTTTGTGTTAGGTTAATTAATTTTATTTATTTGTGCATACTACATTATTTTATTAAGTTCATTTAATTGTGCATGTAAATTAATTGTGTATGTTAAAATAAGTAAATTTGTTCATGTAATTATGCATGTATTCTTATTAATAATTTTATTTGTTGGTTATGCTTATATTAATCATTATTAGTTAAGTAAATTATTATATTTGTGTTATATAGTATTATGATGATATAATGTATTATTTTGTAATAATAATAATTATATTAGTTTAATAATAATAATAATAATAATAATAATATAATAATAATAATTATAAAAGTTTTATTAATAATAATATTAGTAATAATACTATTAGTATTAAATCAATGTAATGATGAAAAATTTAAATACTAGGATAGAATTTCATTTACTATGGTAGATTGGTGGATCAAATATCTTGATTAAGATAGCATTGTCTTAAAGCCATATAGGTAGGAATATGAGAAATGGGTGAGAAGTTATTATAAATTAGATATTTGTATTATATATATTATATAAGTTTGTATATATATATTAGTAGCGAACTTACTCTAAAGGCAACTTACTTAAGTTAGAAAGCTTAAACATTCTAGTGAGCTATTTTATAAGAGTGAAAGGAAAAGAGAAAGAGAAAGAAGCTTGGACCGGTGTAGGCGATTTTACCCGACTACGCGCAACCGGCGGATTTATTTTAAATCCAAAAAGGCAAGTTATTATCTATTTTTCCCCTTTGAATCCATAAATTATTCATTTAATTTATTTCGGGTTTTTTAGAGACTAGAAACCATGCTAGGAGTTGCAATAAATTATTTTTAGTTTATTAAAATATTGTGTTTTAATTATTAAAGAGGATTAGTTATTTATTTATTAGCCTATGTAATTAAAATATAGCTGAAAATAATTAAATAAGGATTTAGGGATTTTTCTAGAATTTTCTAGATTTTTCCGGGGCTTTTCTGCAATTTCCGGCGAGCCTCCGGCGAGGATTCCGGTCACCGGCAGTGGGGAAGACAACCGGAGTAATCCGGTGTGAGGTAGCGCACAAGGGTTCCCATGCGCTTACATCAGCAGCCGTTGGATTAACTTTTGACCACTAGATTGATTCTATGTAGCATAGTGTACAATAATAGTATACGCGCACTTCAGGGACCATTGGATTAAAGGATGATCATTAAGATCAATCCAGTGTAGCGCGCCCACATAGAAACGGTACAACCGACCAACCAGAACACGCCACGTCAGCAGGAACCATTAATGCGCGCGTGGCAGCGCGTGCGCGCGCGTGGCTGATGCCAGACGCGCGTGGAGGCGCGTGAGAGGGTGGAAAACATAGGGCTGCGCGTGGGGAAGCTTAGGGCGGCGCGTGGGGGCGCGTGAGGGGCCCTGTCAGCTGCTGGAAATTACCAGAATACCCCTAGGCCTGTTTTGTAATTTCCAGAACCTTAAACTTGCACTTTTGGGCCTATGGTTGGTACTTACGGATTTAACGGGACATTAAATTATTATTTTATTAAACCGTTAGTTATTATTATGTCTGATTAATATTTTTAAATATTAATTATATCGTTTTCAATACAGATCACCATTAAACGGATGTAGTTAATTTAATGACATTGTTAATCATTAATTGTGTTATTATTTTATTAAACAGTATTAAATCATTAATGTTAAAATTAAATGATTACATGGTTTTAATTCAAATAAATTGTCCGTTATACATTGCAGGATTATTTATGTTGTTAATGATATACAAACCATGATTATTATGCTGTGTGCATTTCAGGAAATAAATGGACTGTTTAATTATGTCGCATTTATATTATATGGATGTGTTGCCATATAGAACCATGTGAGCTGGCTAATAAGTTTAGACTCATTTATACCTTATGCATTCGTTGCGATAGACAGATGTGTGGCTGTCGGGGTATGTGGTTTAATATTATTGGCATGTGTTGCCTAATTGACATACTAAGTATATTTATTAATAATGTTGGCATGTGTTGCCTAATTTATATGCTCAGTATATTCATCAGTACTTTGCGAGGTGTTATCATTGTGTAGTTCGTTATAGTCTGTGTTGTCAGTACCGTGCACCATGTATAATAGCTGATTTCCTGGGTAGGGAAAGGCGACACTTGACCACCTAGTGTGAGTCTAAGTGATCACCGTCTATTCTGGTTGAGGTCATGTTATACATCGGATAGTTCCCATAGGATGTATACAGATATAGTACTCAACAGATTCATAATGATTAATTTATTTGATTCTCTGATTTGGGTCATAGTAGAGAGGACTTGCTCGTGGGGTTGACCCACCATTGTTGTTATTTCAGGATGCAGTCAGTATCCGTTTCAAGGCTGAGGTTAGCAGTGTGGGACCATCATCCGAACTCATCTACTCTTACGATCCAGTGCAGGGTAGAAGTTTTATGTAATACTTCAGTTTCAGTTTTTATTTACTTTTGACGTTGAACTCTCAGGGTTATATTTAGGGATCCTTGACATAGGATTTCCAAGTTGTAACGAAGTACGGTATTAAATAAAGGATGGATGGATGTTGTATTATTTAGTGTTCATTTCCTGTCTAAATTCTTTTATTATCATCATTTTGTATTCCATGCTTGTATATTGCCAATTGTTTTTGATATCCCTCGTTTTTCGTGTATAAGCCTGATCAACTTATGCGTGGAAAATGTGGGGATGTTACAGTTGGTATCAGAGCATTCCAGGTTCGAGTGTCTTAGGGATCTGTGATTGCTATACTTCCGCGTTGTGTATTCTGATAATTAGAGCCTAAGTATTAGGGTTCTTTGTATTCTTTTAGTCGGTCCATTATAATGTACTGATGTTAGATTTTTCTGAATTTAAAAGAAGGATGTCTCGGCGTGGGACAAGGAATGCGAACCGTCATCGCAGTATTTCCCCAACTCAAAATGAGAATCAGGAATTTTCTCCTCAAGTTGCTGATATCATTGCACGAGCTGTGGCAGCAGGAGTAGCATCTGCTCTACGAAACCAGCAACCTCCTCCGATAGTACCTGTTCCTGAACCAGTGGCACAGCCAATGTCATGGGACAAAGTTCGTCACTCGTTCATCCGGGGAAATCCACCAACATTTGCAGGGTCCACAGATGTCTTGTTAGCATATCAGTGGAAACAGGAGAGCGAGCGTCATCTTCGGATGGTAATCTGTACCGAAGTGCAGAAACAGATGCTGGCTACGTTTATGCTGATAGGCAATGCATTGCAGTGGTGGGAGTCTATTACTACTGTCGATGAGAGGACCAGATTGACGTATGCTGAATTTCAGACTCGCTTTGACGACAAGTATTTTCCTATGTCAGTAAGATCAGCGATGAAGACTGAATTTCTGGATCTGCAACAGGAAGATATGACTGTGGCTGAGTATGAACAGAAGTTCATTAATTTGTCATTATTTGCACCAGAGGAGGTTAATACGGAAGAAAAGAAGCGAGACCGCTTTGTGAAGGGGTTGATATGGCCGATTAAAGTGGTGATCTTAGGTAGTCCGGCATATACTACTTATATCCAGGTGGTTAATGCCGCCTTACAGCACTGCCAGATGAGGAGTGATTACCGGAAGTCCAAGGGAGATAAGCGGACTAACCGAGACTACCAGACAGTGGAGAAAGGAAGCAGCAGTGGTGCCAAGTCCAATGATCGGGGCAGATTTCAAGGACATCAACCTTGGAAGAAAAACAAAGGAAACCCAGATGTGCAGAGGGATGGAGTCCCTAATCAGGGTAGACAAGGTGGGATACCTCAGACCGGACAGGAACAGTGGTCGGGAAATCAACAGAGAAGGCAGGCAGGTCCTTTTACAGGACGTTGTTATCACTGTAGAGAGATTGGGCATCCGGCCAAGATGTGTCCCAAAGCTAAGCAGGGACAGTATGGGCAGCCGAGACCAAATCAGCCGTTTCCTCTACCGGCCCCACCGATGCCACGTGGGCAAGTTCAAAATGTTCCGGCACTTCCAGCACCACCATTTCCTCCGGGGCAACCTCCACAGCAATTGCATCATGGCAGAGTTTATAACTTCATGCCACATAATGCGCAGGCTCCTCAGGCTATTGAGGGTATGTTTTCTATACATGGTAGAACTGCTCGTATACTATTTGACACTGGTGCATCACATTCTTTTGTGTCTAGATCTTTTGTTATCTTATCTGGTATGACGACTCAGTTATGTGACCAACCTCTTAATATTTATACACCATTGGAAGTTGGCGCAATTTTACGAGAGTATAGCGGTGATATCCTTATAGATATGGGCCGGCTTCAATTTCTTGCAAATTTGTTAGTATTAGATATGCATTCGTATGATGTTATACTTGGGATGGACTGGTTATCTCAGTACCATGCTCAGGTTAACTGTTACGAAAAGTCTATTGTATTTTCCATACCAGGACAGGAGATGTATCTTCTTGTTGTACCACAACCTGATAGAGGGCCTAGCACTTATTTATTCGTTCTTGAGGAGGACTCACAGGAAGCGACTGCGGTATCTCTTGACAGCATCCCGGTAGTACAGGAATTCCAGGATGTATTCCAGGAAATTCCAGGCTTGCCACCGAGTCGAGAGATAGATTTCGTTATTTATTTAGCTCCAGGCACTACGCCTATTGCTAAGGCGCCGTACCGAATGGCACTAGTGGAGATGCGAGAGTTGAAAGATCAAATTCAGCAGTTGCTCAGCCAGGGATTTATTCGCAGGAGTACTTCACCATGGGGAG